GCTCCCTGGAGGCCAGGATGGCCAAACTTTGTCTCTCATACTTCAGAAATAGTGTCAGGAGGGATCAGTCATTGGAGAAGGATATCATGTTTGGTAAGGTGAAGGGTCAGAGAAAAGGAGGAAGACCCCCAACGAGATGTGTTGGCTAAGTGACAGTATCCATGAACTCAAGCATGGCAACAGTAGTGAAGTTGGCCCAGGATCGGGCAGTGTTTTGTTCTGCTGTGCATAAGGTTGCTATGGGTCAGTACCGACTCGATGGCACCTAACAACAACAACAATGCTAAGGAAGACCATAGAGGAATTGATGTTTTGAGTTATGGTGTTGGAGGAGAATATTGAAAATGTCATGGGCTGCCAAAAGAACCAATAGATCTGTGTTGGAAGCAGTGCAGCCACAGTGCTCCTTGGAGCCCAGGATGGTCAAACTTCCTCTCTCATACTTTGGATATATTGTCAGAAGGGACCAGTCATTGAAGAAGGATATCATGTTTGGTAAGGTGGAGGGTCAGAGAAAAAGAGGGAGACCCCCAACAAGATGGATTGGCCAAGTGGCAGCATCAATGGGCTCAAGCGTGGCAACAATTGTGAGGTTCTGTTGTGCATAAGGTCGCTATGAGTTGGTACCAACTCGATGGCACCTAACAACAACAATGCTAGTGATGACTTTGGTATATTTGGCAGAAGATAATGAGAATAGACCAAAGGGACACAAGAAGGCCGGATGGTGAAGTAGAAGACACAACACATGTAGTTGTACAAAGGAGCTTCATTAAAGGCTGGAACTGGCTAACTGATTTCTTTCAAAGTCAACAGCATTTCCCAGTGGGATGCAGGTCAAGTCCGGTGTTCTGGTCTCTCTTCTAAACTGGGTGAGGTTAACAGAGAAGGTGGAAGTCAGCTAACATAATTTTAGATACAAATACTAAAAGACTGAGGGAAATGATAGTAAAGTAAACCCAGTAACTTTTAGTGGCCACAGACTCAAATGTGACTGTCACGTGATCCCATTCTCACCCTACAGAGTATGGCTTTGTTACCCAAGGATAACTCTCCCAGAAGACTCAGTCAAATGTCATTGGTTAAAGAAAGGGGTAGTTTGTGAATGTGCAGTTTGGGGCAGAAGATGGCAATTGGTAAAAGGTGTTGCTACAAAACAGGAAACTCTGCCGATGGTTTGGAACCAGGCTTCAGAGTATTTAACAATATGGATAAGATATGGGAAACTAATAGGTTTTTTTTAATGAGTAAACTCATTAAGAATCAGGAAGTCAAGAGAACACTTTACTACTGATCCATACCTGTTGGTAATTTTTTAAGAAAACACCTGTCCCTACTATACTCTTCCCATCTCTGTCTCCCGGAAAGTGCAATTGCTTTTATTTTCTCCTCTGCAGGATTTACAATGACTTCTCAAGTGTCAACATTCAGTTACAATACACACGGCCGACAATTGCTCACCTACCTCCTTGGTCTCCCATAGCTGTTTTGGCAGTGGCTTGGGAACATTTAGCAGATTCTCTTCTTTCAATGGGCCAGGGAAAGATACCACTAAAGGGGATGGGTGGATAAAAAGCACATTCATTGCATTAGAAGGCAGCTACTCCATCTTTGGTCAAACCAATTCTCTTTGTAAAAACGGATTTACTTAACAAATATTCATTGACAGTCTACCAGGCAAAGCATTTTAAGCATTACTGTGGGGGTTGCAGACGTGAGTAAGATACAAATTCTGCTCTTAAAGAATTTGTAACCAAGCTGGGAGATAAAGGCACCACATAAATAATTGCGACAGAAAAGAGAAACCAATGGAAGTCCAAGAAAGCTACTGATACAGGGGTGCTGAATGGCTGAGGAGCAGACCAAGACAGTCCTGTGCAGCTGGACACTGAGATAGCTCTTAGGAGACACAGGAAAAGGGCATTCCAAGAGAAGAAGAAATAAGAAAACAGCCCCAAAGGGAAGGGACATGGCGGACAACTACTGAGTAGAGTAGCTTTGTTTAACTGGAGGAGGTGGTGGTGGTGATGGCGGTTGTGTGCCAACGTGTCTGTTCTGACTCACAACAACCCTACAGAGGGTTTCCAAGGCTATAAATCTTTACTGGAACAGAAAGTCTCATCTTTCTCCCAAGGAGCAGCTGGTAAATTTGAACTACTGACCTCCTGGCTAGCAGCCTAACTCATAACCCACTACACTACCAAAACTCCAAATATGTGACAGAGTCTACAACATTATGACCTCATCTACCCTGAGACCAGAAGATCTAGATGGTGCCCAGCTACCACTACTGTCTCTTCAGTGGAGGGTCAATTAAGGGGGTGGCAGGAAATAACTTTGGAAGGTTGAGACCAGATCAGAGAGGGCCCTGGACATTTAGTGAGAAATTAGAGTTAGATCAGTGACGAAAGGCCCACAATAATCTAGGAAGGATGAAATGAGGACAGTAACAAGTGGACAAGATGAGTACTAAATAGGAGCTATGGGGTGGATGGAGCTCCTTGGTAAAGAACTGAGAACTGGGGAGAAAGAGAAACCAAAGGTAGCGAGAGGATCTGAGTCCGGGCAGCTGACAGGATAGCTATCAAATGATTTCATTCAGTACCTTGGGATCATTCTTGGGCTTTCTGCTTTATCATTCAGTGATATCAGGTAAAATGGAGAGCTGAGCCATAAAACATGTGAAAATTTTTGTTCTCAGAGACAGACAAGGAGACAAAGACCAAACCCACTGCTGTTGAGTCAATTCCAACTCACAGTGACCCTTTAGGACAAAGCCGAACTGATTCCCAGAGTTTCTGAGGCTGTAAATTTGAATGAAAGCAGACTGCCTCATCTTTCTCCTGTGAAGTAGTAGCTAGTAAATTTGAACTATAGACCTTTCAGGTTAGGAGCCCAACACTTAACCCACTGTGCCACCAGGACTCCTTGAGACAAGGGTAAGTCCCCCAGAATGAAAAGATACGATGTTGGAGGAGGATCCAATGTTAAAGTCACCAGAGAGATGTCAGAACTACAAATGCTGTTAGGTTTTAGTGACCCTAAGTTCAAGTATGACTGTCCCAGCTGTCCCATCCTAGGACCCCATGGATGGCCTTATTACCCGAGGATAACCCGCACCCCAGAGAAGTCACATAAATGAGGCAACACTGCACAGCAGATTCCGAGGTTTAAAAAAATGGAAACAAAAACTCCCAAGTGGGTTGGATTTTACTCATATTTAAGAAGACTCTGGTAGCGTAGTGGTTACGAATCGGGCTGCGAACCTTAAGGTCAGCGGTTCGAAACTACCAGCCGCTCCGCGGGAGAAAGATGAGGCTTTCTACTCCCGTAAAGATTTACACCCTTGGAAACCCTGTACAGGGTCGCTATGGGTCGGAACCGACTCGACGGCACTTAACAACAACAACAACAACAAGGCTAATGATAAGGAGCTCTGGTAGCATAGTGGTTACAAGTCGGGCTGCCAACCTCAAGGTCAGCAGTTTGAAACTACCAGCCGTTCCACGGGAGAAAGAGGAGGCGTTCTGCTCCCGTAAAGATTTACAGCCTCAGAAACCTTGTGCAGGGTCACTATGAGTCGGAGGCGACACCACGTTATTTAACAACAACAACAAGCTAATGACAGTATGAATGTAAAGATAATGTTTACCCATGTAAACTAACACATAATTCACAATAAAAACTTATTAAAAAAAAAGTCATAGGCTATAAATGCAATTTATAAAAAAAGATACTCTATCTTTTACAAGATTCGCAACTTCATTTTGCAATTCATTTTGCATTTTCCTTGTTTATTTACACTATCTGTCAACAATTGACTCATAATGACTGACTATCCAGGTTGGGGGTGGGAAACATCCGGCCTGCAGACAGTAGAAGGCCCTGCCAGGGCCCCCGCAGTTCCAGCCATCACTTTAGGGATAAGCTGATTAAATGTTTGACCAAATATTGTTGTCGTTAAATGCTGTCGAGTTAGTTGCGACCCTGATAGGGTTTCCAAGGAGCAGCTGGTGAGCTAGAATCGCCGACCTTGCAGCTTAAACTGACTTTGCAGTCCAGCACATTAACTGCAAAGTCAAATATAGCAAGCTTGTCTTTGAGTTGATAATTTGTATGGTCCACAAATAATGTTATAAATTTTGGCAGAAAAAAGTTTCTCCACCCCAATTCTAGATGGACAAAGACAGATATTGGTGTTAAGGAGGAAGGGTATTTAAATTAACTAATTTTTCAGTGATAAGTTCATTAATATTTCCTTTGGGACTTTGGGACTGTTCTGAATCTTGAATAACAATGAACTTTTGTAAACAAATTACAGATTTTAATTTTTGTGGCTTTGATCCTTACTGGCCTTAACTTCATAGAACATCTCAGAAATGTAATCCAATCAGCATATGTCAGCATTTGTAAAAGTCCTGAAAGCAAGAGTCTTAAAGAGTTCAGGCGCTGACAGAAAAGGTGAAGCTGAAATATCAGTATCTCCCTGGGACACAGGTAAATAAAACCAGTCACCCATACCTTCCCCTCGTCCATCATTGTCGCCATCGCAGAAACCTAGTGGAGAAGAAAAGAAACATTTTCATTTGTAATTCTTCAAGAAACAGTCATTCTTTCTGATTTGAAACAGAACTGTGAACATTCTAAATCAATTTTGGTGCACTGATGTCCATTTGGAGTACTTGAGCATTCACACGAATGAAAGCAGAGATGGCTACTCTGAGTCCTTTCGATTGTCTCGGCCTGAAATTTTCTCAGTGCCTGAACCCTGAGAGAAGAATGACTTTTACAAAGCCTGAGAACCTCTGTTCAAATCACAAAGTGCAGGTTGAAACTCTCTTCCAAATGTTTCATCATTGAAAGAACGGCAGATGCTGCAAAAATCTACAAGACAGCTTCGGCTTTGGCTCCATGGGTGTCTACAGGAACAAAATGAAGATCCCATAACACATGTTTTTCTAATCCAGTGAACAGTCAAGATTTTTTAGAAAGAAAATGTATCTGAAGCCTCCGTTAATCTTCAGGGTAGATGTAATAGTTATTCACAACACTCAAAACATTTTACTTGGAATAAGTTCTGACAGAAGCAAGTACTTGAACCCATAAAACATACTACAGATGACAACGTATAGTCCTCTCTGTATGCTTTAAGCTAAAGACAAAGAAGAATATCAAGAATATTATCATTTTCCTTGGAGAAAACACAATGACTTTTCACAATAGAATCTTAACAAATTTTTAAGTTCTAAGTCTTTAAAAGTTTAGGTAAGTTTCTGGATAGATTTAATCTATAAATCAACCTGACTAGCCTGTAAATCTCCCACTATCTTTACTAAACTCCCGCATTGATCCACGATGAGCTGCAGAGGAGAAGCAAATTCCCTAACGAAGGTTGTTGTTGTTGCTGTTGTAAAGTGCCAGTGAGTTAGTTCTGACCCACGCTGACCCTGTTGTGTAGGGTTTCCATGGAGCGACTGGTGGATTTGAACAGCTGACCTTGCAGTTTAAACTGACCTTGCAGTCTAGCATATTATCCTGCAGCACCAGGTAAAGCATATAAAATTCTGGTGGAGCCCATGGTGGTGCAATGGCTCAGAGTTCCCAGGAACACTACGACCAAGGAAGAGGCCGGCAAATTCAGCACACTCAGACCGAATTCCTCTCAGGCCCATGGAAACCGAATCTAAATTAGTGGCTTTCAACTTGATTCTGGAGTTCTGGTGTGGTGCTGTGGGTTAATGCGGTGGACTACAAAGTCATTTGAACCACAAGGTTGGTTACAGGAGCAGAAAGCCTCATCATCTTTCTCCCACGGAACGGCTGGCAGTTTCAAACTGCTGGCCCTGAGAGTAGCAGCCCGATACATAATCACTATGCTACCAGAGCTCCTTAGAAGCTTCCCTATTGCCTTTCCGTTGGGAAAGGGCATGGAATTTGACCATTTGATCATGAAAAGGTGACTACCTCTATGACAAATAACAAACTAAGTTGTATACGGCAGTCTGGTGTGGTACGTTGAAGTATTTTTTCATCACCAACACAGCAGTCACTGTCTATTTAATGAGTGAGGTCAGTTTTCAGGTCATCAAACTGGCCTGTCCATAAAACATGGCAACTCAACTGAGGGCTCCCATGTGAAGTTGTCTCGAGTGGCTACCAGACACCCCACAGGACACCCACTACTGCAACCTTCTGTATGTCACTGTAACAGAAGGAAGGCAGCATGGAGGAGGTGGCATCTGAGTTAGACAATGAAGGACAAGGACAATGATCCTAGTATAAGACAGCTGGTATTACAGTTTGTTTATTAGTGCTTTCTGCAGACAATCTCATTGAATGTGCACAGCAACTCTGAGCCAGACACTATCACTGGTTACAGTAAGTTATCTCACGTCTCCTCTAGCCAGTCTGTGCTTCCCACCAAACAAGGTGTCTGCCCTGCTGGGCCTGGGTAAGAGAATGGGAGGAGATACTAGCTAAACTATAGCCAAAAGATCCAAGACTGATTTTTACTAGTGGATAAAATATGGAGTACCATTGTAAATAAAAGGTTAAAAATAAAAAAAGGACAGTCATGATTGGATATCTGAAAACATCCCAAAGCAAAACAAACAAAGGAGATCATTCCCTGCATCTGTATGCCAAGAACCACTGGAGCTGACCTCTCCTAATCAGCCTAACTGAGGCCATGCTCCCTCTGGGAGCTCCCAGGCCTGGATGAATCGAAATAACTCCTAGCACAGTCTTGATCTGATTTGAAGGGCATGTGGTGGAGTGCTTCTCTAGTGTGTTCTAAAAGAAGCTCTAGGGACTCAGAGAGGAGGAGGCTTGGAAACAGAAAACAGAGGGAGGAAGTGGGAAAAGTGGGGATAAGCTGTGAGGACTGCAGTCAGTGAGGTGAGACAAAAAGCTCTGTAAACTTGCACCCAATTCACAATGAAACCTTCAAAATAAAGAAATACAAGAAGCCTCTTATTTTCAGCCTCCTCCTGGGCCCTCCTGCCATCTGGGTGACACTTTTTGCTCCCCTTTAGACAAAGGATGGAGTCCTGGCATGGCATTGAAGGAGCAGCACTGGACTGCTAACCGCAAAGTTGGCAGTTCAAACCCACCAGCTTATGCTTGTAAACCCTATACACGGCACTTAACAACCACAGACAGGATGCGGTGCCTCTACCCTCAAGCTCCCTCCTATCAGTGCAGCCAAGTGTCATTTAACAAGCTTACTACTACTTCCAAGGTTATTAAAAGTTACTTTCCTTAACTATGTAAATGAAAAGTGTACTGCCTGTTGAAAGGTCACAGAGGCTGAGGAGAGTCCAGAGGACTGTAGTTGACAATGATGATGACACTCAGCATCTATAGCGCTGGGTCTCCATAGGCAAGTGTGTGTGAAATGACATCTGTCTTCATAGATTCTGGATAATTGAAACAATGTGACAAAAATCTTGTTTGTTGTACCAAGGTTTATGTCTGTCATTTACTGCAACCCGCTGTAAATGAGAGAAATAAACCTTGATACAACAAACAAGATTTTTATCACATTGTTTCAATTATCCAGAATCTATTAATTTGTTGTATCAAGGTTTATTTCTGTCATTTACTACAACCGCTAGAGTCCTGGTGTGGCACTGTGGGCTAATGCGTCAGACTGCAAAGTCGTTTGAACTGCAGGGTCAGCGGTTCAAGCTCACCAGCTGCTCCTTGGAAACCCCTGTACAGGGTCACTATGGGTCGGAATCGACTCGATGGCACTTGACAACAACAACTGCTTACCACTTATACCTGATTGTCATGCAACCCTATAACCATTGTAAACAATGACAAAACATGTATCAGACTAACGGCTTTATTTTCTTGGGACATGAACCTCCATTCATGAATGTATCATAGTTCACTGCTCATGTAGTTACGAGCAAATGCTCCATAATTATCTGCTTACAGCCAAAGGCGGGAAAATGAGCAGGAACATTCATCACTATGCTCAGGAAAGATTCCCAGGGAGAGAACAGTTAGTATGGCTCCTACTCCAGTGCCTAATTCTGGCCTTCAATTACATTTTCCCATCCCCTTTTTAATCTTTACTTTATTTGGTTGGTCCTATAATTAGAAATACCTTTTTGCAAAGCTAGTTAGATATTTTTAAAATCCAAAGGAAAGAATATGAAAAAAAATTTAATGAGTTACAGGGGGAAATACATGAAACTATTTAAAACAGCTCCCACCAGCAAATATAATTCTCCAGAAATAATTCCCATCCTTGGAGACTTGAATAATATTTGAAACACAACTGGCTTTCCTATGTAAACATGTCCATATTTGGATGTGTTTCTGAGTTCTGCTATAGTCGCAGGGCCACTGTGTAGACGCAGACACACCGTTTGCCCACTCACGCTGGAGGTCAACCCACCTTCTTCCATGGTTGTCTTATATTGAGGCCTACCAGTTTCTAACTGCTGATTTAAAAAGGCGGGACCACAATGCTTCTCAATCCAGGAGAAAGGCTTCAGCTACCCCACCAACGTTGACATTCTTTATCCTTTCTTATTCATCCTCAACACCTTCTGACCTTTCTCACCTCTCCCCTCAGAGTCACTCTTAGCATGCTGGTACTTCCAACTGGTTTAATCACTTTATTTTCTCTTTGCATGCAAGCCTCAAAATTTCCTGACTTAGATTACCTATAAACCCTTTGTTCTCTCTAGACTTCTGATGTTTTCTGTTGTTATTCAGTACCTTCAAGTCAGTTCCAACTCATTATCGGCCCTGTGTAGGGTTTCCGAGAAGTGGCTGGTGGGTCTGAACCGCTGCCTTTGTGGTCTAGCGCATTATCCTGCAGTGCTACACTCGGACTCCTGACTTTTTCTAAACATCTAAACTATACAAAGGAAGGAATGGCAAAGGCAGAAAGAAATGTAGCTCTTCACTTGGGGCTCTGGGATCAAATCTATCAATGTGGTTCCCTTCCAGTCCAGGGAGACTAAGACTTTACTGCACTCATGGGCATCCTGACTGAGTAGCAAAAACCAAACCAAACCCACTGGGCACTGGGTCGATTCTGACTCTCAATGATCCTATATATGAGACTCTTAAATACTTAAGGGAGCACACACATTTGGGTTTGAACTGCCAACCTTAAGTTTAGCAGCTTAATGCCTAACCCACAGCGCCACCAGGGCTCCATCCACTGGTGGCAGTCTCAAAAAGTTTGTGGAAAAATTCTGTTATCTTTTAACTCAATTTTTTCTATGAAGCCTCCTTGTCTAGCTATGTATCCTAAAGCTAAATGACTTCATCTTCCCATACGTCTCAACGCTCTTCTCTAAAGAGTGAACAGAAAACTTATATTCAATGCCAGTCTAACCAAGCCAACTATACTCTTATATTCCATGTGTGGAAACATGACTTGACATCTTCAACCAGTTCTGGAGCTCATATTTGACAAGAAAGTGATCGCTTAGGAAAGGTAGTCATCCCTGAATTGCACCAAAGGAACAAACATAGTCAACAATTATTATTAAGTCGATGCAAGGAAATGGGACCAGGAATGTTCTCCTTGGAATAAACTGAGACTATTTAGTCTTTAAGTCGTCTAAAAAATGAAGAAAACCAAAAGAGCTGATTACAGCTCAAAGATTTATTTATTCCCCTATTTCAAGACCAAGCACATACCCCTAATAGTTTGTGGACAAGGGTCAATCTGTATATGAAATGGACAATTCAAAACCATGCTGCTTGTAGATGGTAAACTCTGAAAGGCAGGCATGGGTTCTGTCTTGAATGAATTAGCTCCATTTCATGTACAGGTTAGATGTCAGCATCTAGAGTGTGTCTTCGCGAGTACTAGGCACATAGGAGTCAATATTTAATTTCCCCCTACTTCGGCATTATGGAAGGCTCTTCTGTGATACGCTCTGTGCTGGATGCTGGATATAAGAAGACTATTAAGACGCTGACCACAGAAACCTACAGCCAAGCAGGAAGAGAGAAGCAAGTCCATGACAAATGGCAGCCAGGCACCACAAGTACTAAGGTGATTCCCAAACAGGAGCTTGGGGCTGGGAGAAGGACATGAATAGTCTGGGCTGGCAGAGGAAGGAAGGCAGAGGGTGGCTTTACAGAAATGGTGACACAAGCTGAGGCTTATAGATGGAGGGGTGCTGATCAGGTAGGCCAGGAGAGAGTTAAGAGAGCATGAAATGGGGACAGGAAGGAACATTGGCAGAACCCAAAGTGATTCACATGGCCGACTTCAGCAGTGAGGCTGGTGAGAGAAGAGAGCAGGGAGAGGTGGGCAGGGCCAGACCCTGGAGTCCATAACATCCCAAACTGAAGGATTTGGACTTTCTCCTGAAGTGGGGAGGTGACATGATGGGCTGTAAGTAAGAGAATAATATGGTCCGATTTGGGTTCACTCCTGAAGCCAAGAGGTGTGAATATGCCATTTTCCTACTCCTCGTCATCTGGTCACTCCTGGCCTCCCCCCACCAAGGGCCAATAAAATGGGAGGAACAACTGAGCAAGTGATGTTTGACTCTAGCTCAGCTCTGTTTCCTCTCAGGGCCGTGCCTATGCTCAGAGGGTAGGTCTTCTTCACTGCCCTCCTGTGCCTTCCAGTCATATCTGAAAACCCCTTCTATGGGGAAGGCCCACCCTAGGCTTTATTCAGGGGTCCAGTCGTAATCAGCCCCTAGCCCCACCGAGAGAAGTCACTTCCTCCAGTGTGGTTTTGTCAATAATAAAGGTGACACCTAGTCCTACCTGTCACTTGTAGGTTAATTTTTGTTTGCTCAGATCCTGGTTGGGAATCCCACATACTATTGGGCTGGAAAGATATAAGACTGGAGAGAAGTAGACCCATTAGGAAGTTACTGTAAGAGCTCATGCAAAAGATGATGAGGGCCTACAAAAGGGAACTCTGATGTGGAGAAGTCTGAGAGCCAGAGATGTCCACAAGGTAGACTTTAACAGTGGACGAACTAGAGCAGGGGATACCGTAAACTCCACCCTAATTTCATCATGAACACACAAACGTTTTCCCCATCACAGTTTTTGTTTCTTCTGAAGACCACAAAGGCAGAGAAGTACACACACCATTCAATTTGTCCTCTCCCTCCATGCCTGTCAGACAGAAAGAGAAAGCACAGACTCTGGCTGCAAAGGGTCTGTGTGTCTTACCCATGTATGGGGCAGGCCAGGTTGACTGGTCCCCTCCTCCATATGGGTCCTGGGGCTTGGTGTTCAGGGCACTTGTGTGAAGAGCAGAATCCGAATTGGTCCTAAAGGGGGGAAGAGAGAGGCTGGCTGAAAAATCCTTATTTCCTCAGTGAAAGTAACACATTCTCTGCTTGAATATTAACAAAGGGATAGAAGGCAAGTAAAAAAAAAAAACAATTAAAAATCATCCACAAAATGAGGGGTTTTAAAACTGTCTGAAGTCTCCTACATGAGTAACAGTCTCTGAGGGTCACCCACACCCAAAATGGCTTTAATTCACACATATGACCTTATGCTTGCGGCTAATGGCACAATGATCTACTTCAATGAGATGGGCCTCAGATTCTTGGCTGCCCTCTAAGACCTTCCTATTTTTCCTTATAACTCAGATCACCATGACCAGGACCACTTTCTGTGGCTGCTCTAGACTTTCTCCATCTGAGACCCTTCCAATGCTTAAGACCACTCTATAACAATGGTTCTCAAACTCTTTCAAGGGGAATGCAGGGTCAACACCATTTTCAGCATAATACTATGATGTTATTTGCTCTTTTATTAACATGCTCTCAAGAGTGTACAGAGGAGTTGTAAGCTGTGTGATATGACCACTGACGGAATATAAAAACAGAGACTCCAGCTGCCTGATTAAAGGGATTTGTAAAATACACAGTGTCATTTTATAAGTGCTTAAAAAATAAGCTCCTTTATTGCTTCAAGAGCATCATTTTGTGAGTGTTTCTCCGCACAAAATTGTTTGAAAATATATAATTGTGTTTCTTAAAAAATCTACAAGGAGGCTTCAAAAAGTTCACGGAAAACTTCTATTATCTTTTTATTCCATTTTTCCCACAAATCTGGAAGCCCTCTCATTTTATTGATGCTAGCATGTGCTGGGATCCTTTATTGTCTATTAATAAGTACACTCTGAACTCTCTCAACTGGACTGCTACTATCTACGGATTATTAGTGATACATAGACCCACATCAACAAAAGGCCTTTGAGGACCTCAGTGATTTTTAACAGTATAAAGGAGTCCTAAAGCAAAAAGTCTGGGAACTGCTTAGACTGGAGGGCTGTAAGCCTGAGAGCAGGAGACTAAGGTATTTTAACTTCCTGTGATGCAGTAGTAAACTTCTGATACTCTTCCAGAAAGCTCCAATTTACACATAGCCTTGACCCCAAGGGATCAATATTTACTTAGGAGTCAAGAGTCAAATCTTCTGCAACAAAAAGGGCTTGTGAGTGACTTTGTAAGTTCAAATTGGCCTGAATGCTCTTTGTGATCCATTCCAAGGGTTAGCCTCACGTGGTACTAAGCCACAAGGCCCAACTGCACATGGCTGTGTTGTGTTCACACCGAGAGAAGCAGCAGTTTGGACCCATGTGGTACAATGGAAAGATTATGGGCTCTCAGGTTAGAGAGACATGGGTTTGGATTCCTGCTTCAAAGAGGCTCAACCAAACCTTCACTGCCATTGAGTCAATTCTGACTCAGTGGCCCTATAAGTCACAGGATTTTCAAGGCAGACAGAAGCAAACTGCCACATCTTTGTCCTGAGGATCGATCGGCTGGTGGGATTGAACTGCTAACCTTTCAGTTAGCAGCAGAGTGCTTTCACCACTGTGTCACTAGGCCTCCTCCAAAGAGATTCAAAAGACTCAATCAAACACAAAGAGACAGCTGGGGAAATGGAATTATAGACGGAGGTGGTGGTATACCATTAAGAGCTGTCAAGTTGTTCCCACTCATAGCGACCCTGGATAGGGTTTCCGAGAAATGGCTGATACTAGATAGCGTTAAACATTTTTTAAATATTGTTAGATGTATTAAGCATAATGACAGCATGATAGTTTTTTGTTTTTTTAAAGGTTTTTATCAACCTTAAACTGTTGAATACTCATATAGGTGAGGTCGTTTATCTAGTCTATTTTCAGATGGGGGCAGACAGTGGGGGCTGAGGTGAAATGAGCCTGGCAGGATGCTGGGAAGGACTCAGCTCAGGGGTGGACACAAGAGATGTCTATTCTTCTCTCTTGAGTGTATGTTTGACATTTTCTACTTTCAAATCCCAGTTTCAACATGTATTAGGTAAGTGGCCTTGGGCAAGTCACTTCACCTCTTAGAATAGAATAGAATACCCATCCTACGGTCAGGGGATTGTCAGGATTGAAAAAAAGAACATACCTAAAACACTGGAGTCAAGCCCCAAGTGATCATGACAACTGCTAGTGTGTATCCCTTAGATTACTTTACTGAATCCACACAACCATCCCAGGATATCGCTGTTGTTGTTATTAAGTGCTGTGGAGTCAGTTCCGACTCATAGTGACCCTGTATAGGTTTCTAAGGAGTGAATGTTGAGCTTGAACCACCGACCTTGCGGTCGAGTGCGTTATCCCACAGCGCCACACCAGGGCCCCTTTCACATCCATCTGTTCTACTAGGAAACAGCCCATGTACCTGTTGAGTGCAGAGGTTAGCCTGAACCCAGGATGCTTTTCTTCTTTCCAAGGAGGCCTTTGAAAGACAGAACATGAAAGAAAAATATTTCAATTCATAGGGAACAAAGGAGAGTACCATCCAATGGGTTTGAGAGCTGGCTCACTCAGCTGTTACAACCTGAGGAAAGTCACTTAAAAAGGCTTCAGGCCCCGCTCCCCTTGCTCATCTCTGCTGAAATGAGGTTAGATGGAATGATCTCTCTAGTCACTCCAATTTCAAATCTCCACAATAAAAACTACCAAAAATCTACACGTCCAGGCTAAGCCTGATGAGCACTTGGCTGTTGTGTGCTTGTGGAGTCAATTCTGACTACGGTAGAGCAGAACTGCCCCCGAGTTGCCCAGGCTCTAGCTATGGGAGCAGATTACCAGGTCTTTACACCAGAGAAGGTTCCAACCTCCAACCTTTCCATTAGCGGCCAAGCACTTAGCCACGGTACCACCAGGCTCCTTTGCCAAACACGAGGAATTACATGTTTATAAAAGCAAACCAAAACCTTTCACAGTCTTCTGAAATAAATCTATGACTGACTCCTCCCTAAGGGATGTGGGGCCTTACATCAGATGTGTAAGAAACTATCTCTCATCACATACCTCATGTGCAAGGAGGGAGTGCCTGGGTAAGCCCGGATGCAAAAATTTACACGCCCCAAATTTTCATGAAAAGGAATATATAACTGTTACCTACCCTATCTTTATATAAATGGCATGTGCCTTCACATTGGTTTGCTCCCGTAAGGGCTGCTACAGGAATACACAGAAAAAATATGGGGAGGAGGGGGGACAGTTGACAAATTAACGGAGAAGGCATGTGCTCTTTGTGTAAAAACACAGTGGTTGGTGGTTGGTCGTGGACCACTGAGTCAGTTCCAACTCATAGTGACCCTATATAGTTCCGAGACTGTAAATCTTTATGGGAGCAGAAAGCACCATCTTTCTCCCGTGAAGCGGCTGGTAGATTCGAACTAGTGACTTTGGGGTTAGCAGCCCAATGTGTAACCCACTACCCTACCAGGGCTCCTTCAAAAATACAGTCGTTTATGAAAATATTAGTCTGAATAATGCTAGTGCTCTGGAAAGCCTAAGACATTTTTCTTGAGCACAAATAAGAGTGTTAGTTTAGAGATGCCCTTTTCTGATTTAAGATGAAATATTGTATTTATCTTATAATCTTACATCCTACCATCCTAATTCTTAAAGGGAAGGTAGAAGATAGATGTTATCCATCTTTATATTCTTTCCTAGGTCAAGGCTATATAATTCATAGTCGGTATCTGCACAGAGAATGGATTGGGCATAGTCCTCAACCCAGAGAGTAAATTTTTTTCAGTATGTACATTTCAAACGTCTCCTAAATCTAACTCAACAACCACCAAACCTGTGCTATCATGTCAATTCTGACTCACAGCCATCCTGTAAGACTGTGTAGAACTGATAGTGTCTGTGGTGCTGTAGGAGAAACACTGGACTGCAGACCACAAGGCTGGTGGGTCGAACCCACCAGCGGCTCCTCGGAAACCCCATAAAGGGTCGCTCTGAGTTGGAATTGACTTGAGGGCACTTAACAGCAACAATAACAACCTTTTATGGAAGCGGATTGCCAAATCTTTGTCCAGCAGAGCAGCTGGCCGGTTCAAACAACTGACCTTTCAGTTATCAGCCAAGTTCGTAACCACTGGGCCACCAGCGTTCCTTAAACCTGACTTAGTGATCGGAGAATGGTATTACACAATGGATGCAACAGTCTGATTCAGCTAATTTTCTATTCTGCCACTATTTATATTGGGTACAAAAAATAACATATTCAAATACACTGCACAAAAACTTTTCTAGGAGTCTTCTGTTCTTTTCAATAGCTAAGATACCCTAAGAAAAAGTTAGTTTTCAGTATCTCAAATACCATACCAAATCAGAATATTCTGTTGGTAAATGTATTTCAAATATGTTTCCAGTTGGTCTTAACTTGGGAGATCTAGATTTATTTAAGTAACTTTTTTTTTTTTCTCCAAATTTTAGACATTCACAGATGCCTATACATGGAAAAACTTAAGTTTTATAACACGGAAAAAAACTTATATGCTTTATATTAGAGATTCTAAAACGACATTGAAGATGTATAAAGTAGAGTGAAGCTATCCAACAGTGCCCATGCCCAGTCTAGAGAGTTTAAATTTCACTTACCTTGGCCAACTCTCATCCAGAGGTTGCGCGGAATAATTGGCTCCCAGAGTATTACCATCGAAGTAGAATTTTAAATAAAGGAACAATAAAATGAATGGAAAGGTGACACAGAATTAAGAAGTTCATATTATGGAGAGTTAAACAACTGAGTTTTGGCTTCTTTATCTCTATAGCCGGTAGCTCTTCCTCCATCCTTTCTCTTATCAGCTTCCTTAGGGCAGACTATTCCTCTCTCTTCTAACCAATATCTTTCTTTGCACGATTCACAAGGGGTGCTAGTTTTTTTTTAATCTGCCCAGCCTCTTTTGTCTTCATGAACTGACACATGTTCCCACCCCACATCTAGTAAGGTGGGCGTTCTGTGCTGACCCAGCCTCCTTTATTTTCATGAACTGGCCTGTGTCCTCACCCCAAGTCTGGTTACGCTGTCATTCTGTGCTGGCTTCTGTCCCACAGGAAGGACCCAGGCTCAGGATTTACCATCATGGTCCTTCATCTCCCTGGAAACTGTGATTGGTTTGGGGAGCGTTTGTGACACATGCAGGACCAATGATGGGAAGATGGGAAGTACCCAATTGAGGTGGTGAGCCTGAAGATCACATGAGCCTAGGGTTCTCCCCTTGGAGGAAATACACGAAGGAAAGTACCCCAGAGACACAGAGTCTCACTGCTACTACACGAACCCCTGGGTCTAGCCCTCAAGCTTCCAGGGACATAAGCTAATACAGCTGTCTCTCTTTTTCCCTTCCCCAAGTTAAGGTGAGTTATTGTCACTTACAACCAAGTAAGCACTGTATTGTTGTTGTTAAGTGCCGTCGAGTCGGTTCTGACCCATAGCAACCCTGTATAGGGTTTCCAAGGAGCGGCTGGTGAGCTTGAACCACCGACCTTGCAGTTCAAACGGCTTTACAGTCTGACGCATTAGATTTGTAGAAAACTGTAAATGTCCTAGACTGGGCTCTGTTTTACAAATACTGTATCCTTCACTGGGTGTAAGCCTCCTGAGACCATCTTCCAGATGCATGGGGAGAGCAATGGAATGCTGCATTCCACCGCTGAGAATAGCAGAGTGGTTTTGATTAATTTAGTTTTTAATTAGATTTTTAAAATATACTTGTTGTTAAGTGCCACTGAGTCGGTTCTGACTCATAGTGACTCCGTATGAGGCTTGTAACTCTTTGTGGGAGCAGAAAGCCTCATCTTTCTCCCAGAGAGTGGCTCTAACTGTTGACCTTATGGTTCCCAATCCAGTGCTTACCCTATTAACCCACCACATTTGCTTAGATACATATTGTTGTTAAGTGCCGTCGAGTCGCTTCCTACCCATAGCGACCCTGTATAGGGTTACAGTGGAGTGACTGGAGAACTTGAACCGTTAACCTTGCAGTTCAAACCGACTTTGCAGTCCAGCACATTACAACCCACAGCGCTACACCAGGACTCCAAATATATATTGTTATTGTTGTTGTTAAGTGCCATGGAGTCGGTTCCAACCCATAGCAACCCTGTAAAGGGTTTCCGAGGAGTAGGTGGCAACTCTGAACTACTGACCCTATGGCTCAAACCGACCTTGAGGTCAAGTGCTTACTCTTTGGCGCCACAGCAGAGCTCGTCAGATATAAATTGTTGTTGTTGTTGTTAAGTGCCGTTGAGTCGGGTCCGACCCATAGCGACCCTGTACAGGGTTTCCGAGGGTGTAAATCTTTACGGGAGTAGAAAGCCTCATCTTTCTCCCGCGGAGCAGCTGGTAGTTTCGAACCGCTGACCTTAAGGTTCGCAGCCCGATTCGTAACCACTACGCTAAGGAGGAAATTTGAAAAATGGATATAAAAGCACCTACTATGTGCCATGCCTGTGCTGAGTAGGTTCCCGCTCTCATTTCACCCTAATAATCCTGGGAGGTCAACAATACCATCCCTAGTTTTATAGCATAAGAAACTGAAGCTCAATTCTAGTAGTGTTAGGAAACCCAAGCTCAGACAACTGGTACAGTAAAATAGGAGTCAAACTCAGCCGACAAACTGCAATGCCTGTGAATTATTCATTAAATTGACTCTCAGGAACTAGCAAATGAACATCAAGTGCACTAGAAAATCTAAAATATGTATCAGAGAGTTTTTTGGAAAGAAGAAAGATGGAAGCTATAAAAGAAGGCATCATCTGCTATCTGCTTGGGCTCAGAATTAAATGGGAGCCTGGTTGGAGAGGGACCTCTCGCAGGCCTGGGCTGGCCTCTCAGATGTATACAGAACCTGGGATCAGTAAAACGGGACACTAAGGAGTTCTTAATGACTTAGTGTGAAATGAGTCCTTTGCCAGGAGAAGCATTAAGCTGAAGAATTCCATTTTCAGTTTATTCATTGTCTTTGTCATGTCTAGTTATTTTATTTCTTAATCTGAACCCCAGTCAATACGAATGAGCACACTAAGAGATATTTTCAAAAGAGAGATGCTTCTTAAATAGGAGCTATTAAATGCAATGCATGTGAAGCTCAAGTTAGGATCTCCCAGGGAAGGAGACAGAGAGGAAGAGATGGCAACGAAGAGAGCCCCCTGAGACTTGAAGCACATCAGTACTTCCGCAGGTAAAGTTACAGGGGAGAAGGCGCTGCGCCTTGTCACCTGTGCTCATCTACCTTTATATTTTCTGGAGAGCTGTTGAAGCTTTGTCCAGAGAGGCTTCAGTCCATGAAGCGGCCATTTACAGCTTCTCTCAGTACACTGCCATCGCTTCATAAACGTCATTATGTCCAATTATATAGTGCTGGTAAGACAAATTAGAATGCAGTGGTATAATATGAACAATTTTCAGATTTTGATTATTTAAGTGTTACAGCATACACTAGCATTTAAACCTTTCTGACATATATAAGGGGACTTTAAAAAGTTAGTGGGAAAATGGAATGAAAGATAGTTTGTTTTTCCTTTTTGAAGCCCTCTTATTAATAACATAAAAATGCAGTAAATTCCTGACATTTTAACTATGATTAGTCAGGGGCATCAGAAGTGACAAGATGTGACCTCCGAGTTCTCTTCTCAGCATCTCATCTAATTTATACATCAGGATACCATGAGGGGACGTCAACTCAAAGTAACCACCAGCACCACCAATACCATCTAACTGAACGGGCACTTGAAAACCCAGAACTACTGGCACCAAGAGAACCACGGATTGTTTCAAAGTTACACTGAAACTTAATAGAAGGGAAACCTAGAAAAGGGTCTTTTTTTGGTTGCTATTCTTTTAAAGATTTCAGAAAACTTCATTCATGTAGCTTTAATTACCCTACAATACTGGAGTCTCCTAAAGAACAATCTAGAGAAACGAGAAACACCCTTATTTGTAAACTTGGATTTACCAATTTAATTCAACAAGCATTTCTGGAGCACTGCTGGATGGTACCGTACAAACATGAAAGAAGTACAGGGCACAGGCTTTCTAGAAGGCCAGGCTAGCTCCTCCTCCATTACCTCCCTTAGTTAGCTAAGCCTAGGTTTTAACACAAGGTATCTTCCCACTCTAGAAAAGAAGAGATCATGAAAATGGTAAATGAGGAAGAGGTTGCTCATGATGGAAATAATAATTAAAGGTTTAAAAAATTCTCCTCATAACACAGTCCACAAAGACTGGGTTTTATATCCTACTTTGGTGAGTAGCGACTGGGATCTTAAAAGTTCACGAGCAGCCATCTAAGATGCAACTATTGGTATCTCCATGTGCAGAAGAAGAAGAGTGATGGAAACTGAAGATGCTTGGAATTAACCAGTCCAATGGACCAAAGGAGCAGGTGAACATCAATCACCATGACTGAGACCAGAACTAGATGGTGCCTAGCAACCACTACCAACTGTTTTTGAAAGGGATATTAGAAGGAACCACATAGAGTGGGAGAAAATGTGGAGCAAAACTCAAAATAGACCAGAAGAACCTGAAACTATGGCCCTTGGCCATCTCTCAGGTCTGGAATGGAACGTATCCTTGTGACCCATTTTCAGCCAAGCAGTAGATAGGCATATGGGGGAACACCACTAGTAAGGTATGCTCACCATCGTTTAGGATCAGAAGGACACCAGTTACCTAAGGACAGAGTTGAGAAGGGATGGGAAGAAGGGCGGAATAGAAATAGGAGCCCCAAGGAGGAAGTGGGGTAATTGCTGTTACATGAAGGGGAGAGCAATCACTGAGATGAAACAAGGTGCAGAATTTGTTGAATGTAAAACTGATGATCTTCTCTGTAAACTGTCACTCGGTTCATAATAAAAAGTTTAATTTAAAAAGCCTCTCCCTCTACTGTGGACTTTTGTTTTAACCCTGTGCACTCCTGATCAGGAGTCCTGGTGTGGCGCTGTGGGTTAATGTGCCAGACTGCAAAGCTGTTTGAACTGCAAGTTTGGCAGTTCAAGCTCACCAGCTGCTCCTCAGAAACCCTATACAGGGTCACTATGGGTCAGAACCGACTCACCGGCATTTAACAACAACACTTCCTGTCAGGTACCTTTGCTGGCTTCTCGCTGACCTTCAATCCTCTGCTTATTTCTCAGTCTTCCTCTGCTCATTGCAGAGATTTATTCTCAAAGGGACAACAGGGAGAAGAGACTCCGAATCACTGGGGACCAGGTAGAGAGGGTGGGAGGAGGAGACTCTGGCATGAACACTTTGGGAAGGCTCCTCAGGGCTCTCTGAGCTCAAGAACCACTGTCGAAGGTAGAGAACCCTTGACCTCCATGTTCTCCTTGAGCCTGTGGCTCCAACTGCCACAGATCTATACCTGTAGCTCCCAACAGTTTCTGTGCCAGTCCATATTTCAGTGGTCTAGTCTACTTCTCCATCAATAACACCCCAACCAAACCCATGGCCTCTGAGTAGATCCTGACTCACAGCTACCCGACAGGACAGAGTAGAACTGCTCCACGGTGTTTCCAAGGGCGTTGTCTTTACAGAAGTAAACTGTGGAGGAACTGGTAGGTTCAAACTACCCATCTTTTGGTTAGTAGACCAACCTCAAGTTACACCTAAAATTCAAGAAATTACATGTGTCTCCCAACCCCGTCACCTGTTCTT